TGTCATTATCACCTTACACGTAGAACAGCAACATACACATCTACACTAAATATTCCTACAGTAATAATTAATTCAACATGATTTACGCGAATATTATTCCAGTGTTCAGCGCTGTCTTGTGAGACTCGATTTATGTGTCTATGGTAATGTATGTTGATGTCCAGAATGTATTTGCGTAACAAATAAGTTTGTGTGTTGTTTGACTGTTAAGAATTCCTTTTAAATCCAATTTTTCGGTAATAGATCAAGACATTTATGCATTGCTCTACACATTATATCTATACTAATATTGTAAATTTGAAGAGTTTGTTTAAACCCAATAATTTCAGAAATTACTTGCTGAAAATGAAATATCCTTGCATTTGATAGACTATTTATCGAAGAAGGCGTAAGGCTTTAAATATCTTGCGAAGAAACTAATGTAGAAAAAATGGGAAAATTTATTCATCTTTGAGGGCTTCCATTGCGTGGATTGGGAAAAATGGTTCAAGAAACCAACAAAAGAAAAAACAAAGATTCTACTTTTAAAGATCTGAAAAAAAGTCCGTAACAGTCTTTGTCTTTCTTTTAAAATTAACTCGAAAAAACCTTTTTTTATTGTAATTACATTTGGTCGAAATATTTTTTTTTATATTGTTATCAAGTCCTACCAATTATAATTATATATTTTAGAGTCGTATCAACGTAATATAATATATAAACAAACAACAAAACAACGTTTTCAACGTAGTCATATGAAATAATAAATTTTCGTGAAATTTCGTAGTAACATAATATAATTTTTATGCGCTTGTGAGGACATGATTTTAATTGAAAATTGAACATAGGTTGTTGATTATTTACTTTGTATATGAGTTCCAGTGTACGTCCTGCTGAATAACAAAAAACAAGGGATAATTAAAAAAAAAATTAAGTCACTGCTCCAAATTTGTAAATAAATTCTCCTAAACCATTTTACTTACAGTCTAGAAATACATAATAATTTGTAAAGCTACTTTGGTGTGGGTTTTGGTAATGATAAAGCCTTATGCAATTAAATCAGCCGCGTTTTAATCAGTAAAAACTGTTTAAACATAGCACTTATTAACTTACTTCAATTTGAAAAAAGAAAAATCATCTTGAGAGCTTCCGTCGCGTGCGAAAACGGTTCTAGAAATCTAAATTACACAGTATAAGTTTTTATATTTTAAGATATCTCGCAAGAATTAGTTTTATGGTAATAAAATTTTAGTCAAAATACTTCGTATGGCAAAAGAACGTTTGCCATGACGAATAACAACTAAAATTATAAAATTGAAGAGTTTGTTTGTTTGAACGCGCTAATCTCGTGAACTACTGGTACGAATTGAAAGAAACTTTTTGTGTTGATGAAATTATTCATTGAGGAAGGCTCTAAGCTACAACAAGGTTTAAAAAACCAAATTTTGATGCCCATAATAACTATTCTGCGCGATTAAATAAAACACTTTAACGGTTTAAAACGCGATATATTAGTTAAACTTATTTGGAAATGATTGTTAACTTCGGCCCGACGTTTCAGATGATTTGATGACGGCTGCTGCAAAGCATCCGAAACGTCGGGCCGAAGTTAAAAATCATTTCCAAATAAGTTTGATAATATATCGCGTTTTAAACCGTTAAAGTGTTTTATTCAAATGTGTACTACTCGCGTAAACTATAGACAGTATTTTATTCTGCGCCAATGAAATCGCTAGTTAGCTAGTACTCGATAAAATGCATAAGTGAAGCGGTCACAGATATACTGCACTATGCACGTGGGGGATTAGTGAAATAATAATGATGCACGTGCTATAACACATCTATAGATGTGTGAGGTGAAGGCCAATACTTGAGGAGTTGCTCTGAATACCGGATGCCACTTTTTGTTGGATATAATAAGGTAATGTACAGACTTCCTGCGGTAAAGTGGCGCGCACGGCGGCGCCCACGCGCTGTTATAATCTGCATAGGCAAATCGTTTGTTGAACGTACAGGAACCTAATGTTAAGGTTCTGATTGGCTGATCTATGGCTAACAATCAACGGGTCGCGGGTTCGATCCCAAACGGGTTCAACATGCTTGTAAACAATTTATAAGTTTTCTTTAACACGTTTGGAAATCTGGGTGTGGAAAAATCGAAATTACACCGAGTCACGAACGATTTCCGAATGTCCAAAGCCAAAATGGCTTGACAATGTTTAAGACTGGGTATTTCGCCTATCAATAAGTGAACCCTAAGGTATTAATATTGCTCGTTTTCGCTTTGCAGATGAATAGAAGGTAATAGGAATAAAAAAACACATGGATCTTGATAACACTCGTATTATTATTATATTAATATGTTTGATATATCAAAGCTAAATTTTGGTTAAAAAAAATGTTTTGACAAAAATTTCTATACTTATAACTAAAAGACATTCGTCGATCTACAAAAAACACAGTAGCTCAATCAATAGGGTACGGTATGTTTTTTCGGGTTCGAAGCTCGCTCGCGTCATAACTCTTCCCTCGAAGAACTTGCATGAAGAAGTAACTTGATCTATCCGCTAGGCGATCTGTTTGATGTAATTTGTTGTTTAACAGAAAACATCTAAAACTCGAAGTTATAATTATTTTTCTACATTTCCGACACAACATACACACTATAGATACTATTACTTACAATATTTATTAATGCGTACATAGTTTTATTAAACTTTACTGGGATAGTATTCGAAAAAGAAGGCGTTTAGCCTTCTTTTGCGTATGTCTCGTTCGAGAAGACATTAAAATAAGTTTGTAATATAGTATAGTAATGCATAAAAATTAATAATAATACATGGGTTAGATACTTTTGTAGATACATATAAGATCCTTATCATTGTAATGACATGATTCATTGCACTTTCTTTATTTAATTAATGTCTTTATTCTTTAAAAATAAGACGTATCAAACACTTTATGTAATATGCTAAAAGTGGTAAGAACTAAAATACTATTTTTGTTTGTATGTACATATTATATATATATATAATCTCTGAAAGTCTGAAAGTAGGTACCTCACGGAACTAAATACGGTTCTCACAAATATATTAAGATCGGCTCAGCATCCAGCATTTAAATCGAATGTATATTTATAATTTTTTGGTGTTTTTGATTCCGCCGCGAGATAACCGCAACAAAGATTTTTACGTGTAGTTCATAAGCAAATAAACCGGTACAATATATAATGGCTATAATTTTTAACATTATCAAGAGATAATAATAGTAAAACATTTTATTGCACTAACAAACAAAATAAACTAAAAATGTATTTACATAAGAAGTTAGCGTAATGGCGGTCTTATCGTCTATGGCGATTTCTTCCAGGCAACCTTTATTACAGAAGGAAACAAAGGAGGAAAGAAATGCGATAGTCACTTTTTCTTCCGACTCTGGTTGCTGTTAAGAGGTATGGGACTAGTTTAGCTCATTCTAATTGCACTGTCGATATTGTCAATGAATGATTGACACATCGATCATTATAATGATAGTTATTCATGATATCATGTTAAAAAGAGCTGGCGTGCCTGTGGTCAAATCGACCAGTAGATAAATTGGTTATGCGACACATTTCCCTTATGCCGGATGCAATCAATTTGACTGGTACAGCGCAAGCGCAGTTGTTAGAAAGATACGGTTACGTTACCATCGCATACCTTTAAAAACAATTATTATTTAGCATATATTATATGCGATTATCAAACACTATCTATTCAAAATTTAAAACAGTGCTAAACAAATTTCAGTTATAAATGATTCAAGTTAGGAAGTTTAAAAATGAAAGATTAGCTTAATTAATAAGTTGGTAATCTCAAAATGTTTGCGTTGCATTTAAAATAAACGTGTTTATGGGAGACTTTGTGGCTGCCAATTGAGTACAGTTAGTTCATAACAGCGCAATTTATCAACGGAAGTGTGTGGTATCACGGCAATGTGATACCGCACAAACCGTCACCACGGATCACAGCAAGAGAGAGGAAAAGCGACCGAAACGGAAAAGAATTTCAGACATGAGGTGAGATTTTGCATTTGAAACAAACATTTTCGCATGTTATTGCATATGCACATGATGGCACGGGCAGGACTTGGAGCGGCATTCACAGCTGCAGCCGGTATTATGAAGATAGCGTTAAAATTATACAGAGGCCAGTATCTAAAGCGAGCTTAGTAAACAATATACTAATATTATAAAGCTTAAGAATTTGTTTACTTGTACGCATTTATCTCAGGAACTACTCGTTCGTATTGAATCGTTCGCTCTGTGTTGAGTAGACAATCGAGGAAGGTTTAAGGCTTATAAAATTAAACTAAAATAAATTCTTACTTAGGTTCAACGTTCAAAAACATCGACCATACAAAGTACATATTAGGTTCCAGTCTATGTATATGTTAATAAATAGTTATAATCTGTGGATCACATTGTGGTGTACATTTTGTTGAATACTTTGTAACACAAAATGGTAAAAAAAAACAGTAGGTATAGTATAGAATGTCTTACGTATTTCACAATAAATTAAACATACAAGACGGTTTAAGTTTAGATATATTTATTTTAGTATTTAAACAAATTGACAATATCACTATTTTTATAATGTGCACAGATGTGGCATACACATTTATTAAAAAAAAGGCTTCCTTAAATTCTTATGTCCGCTTTTTTCTACGTTACTTCATTTCTGTCTTGGTTTGTACAAATACTAGAAAAATGCCAAGACAAAAGTAGTTACTCTATAGCGCTACAAAAAATAATTGATTAAATGGCATTTAAATGCCGTAATAGAATTACTGATATTACCATTAATACATTTTTTCGCCTTTATATATATTACAAATCAATTTCTACAGTCTAGAAATTAGATTACAGACTAGCGTGGGGTTTACTTGATGGTAGATGGATATTCCAGTCATCCAAACAAGATGCGCTATCGACCTATTTAGTATTGTAACCTTTGAGAGTTTTAGTTAAAAAATTTATTGATATGAAAAATATGAAAAAGTAAGTACTTCAAGTATGAAAAATGTTATTTTAAACCCATTCAAACTAAAATCAATCCTGTCAAATGTTAAATATTAAAACAATCAACCAAACAAAACCTATCAGATTAACTAAGCGATAAGATTCAATATACTATAACAGTCATAACATTTACTCATCTTTCAAATTTCAGTATATCTCCCAATCACAATCTTATTCCTGAAAAAATAAATCCCGTTTCTTGTCCACAGAATCGACGTCCGCGGCTTGAAGTGTGCGACCGCACTCCGCGCTGTCAAAGTTGCGATGTACGAAAGTAGCTGCTCCTATGGCGGGGCACTAGAACTGAAAAGAAGCGCTCTGAAAGAAGAACCCTGGCCGACCACAGAATGGCCGCCCTACCGTCTCCACCAGTCAACCTTCGAACAGCTAAAGCAGAGTGTAGAGAAAGCGAAAGCCGCACTACAGGACCGATCAAGTCTATTGGGAACAGCCTCAGCGTTCGGTGATTTTTATGGAGGCCAACTGGGACAAGACAGCACTAATATTGGCTTTGGACGGTCTAGAACGGAGGATTCCATGCTTGGACCCATAGATAAGGCTAAGGGATTAGGTGAGTTGCTTGCTTTGTTCATAGAATGGTGGTGTTTTTATTTAAAACAATTGGGGCCGATGCCGATGTCCTCCTGGGGGCAAGCTTGGTCTGACCGCAAACTCTGCCGCTAAACGTCCGGTTCTTATTGACGGCTCAAAACCATAATAATGGTTAAAAAAATAGTACTTTATTTTTAATTTGGAATAGCGTTGGAATGTGTTCATTTAAAATGTTTACTGTGCTATATATACAACAATAATAATTTATTTCGCCTCAATGTTAAATATCACACCGTATTTCATAAAGATTTGACAAAGAGATAGTTAAGTAGAAAATAATATCGATTTTAGCACTTTGTATTCGAAATCGTGAAACGCACCCTATTTTCTTAACAATAAGAAGTATTCTTAAACCCCGGCGCTTAAACCCTTCTGTTCGCGTTGGGAGGCTGTAGGTACAGCGAGGTGGGGTGTTTCTTCGGATAACAATCTCTAAAAGGGAGAATATCTGGGCGTGCGGGATACCCTACATCCCCTATTGCCATAGCAACGCGACGCCCACGCCCGCCCCGGCTGGATCAACGCTGCCTTATAAATACTATTTCAGCAAAAATAAATTTTTATTATCTCCGTTCAGTTCATTATTTCGAAACTTACCCGGGGCTGCAGCGTTTAACGAGGAGGGGCGATTGTCATGGAAAATGCGCAGATGAATTATCAGGCTTTGCAGCTCAAATACGAATAGAAAATCAACCGCGGCTCTCTAGTCTTTTTTTAATTCCTTCTTTTTTCTATATTTTTCACAGAAATTATAGCTTTAAATGAAATCTTGATTAAAAACTTTTCATTGTTTCAAAATGCATGGGTATTGCATTCATATATTATATTATACAAAATTCATATCATTTACAAAATTTCAAAAACAGTATTTTATGAAACCACTTGACATTACGTGGATTACATATATATACGATATAATCATTTCAAATTTAGTATTATAACGTAATCATTATTCATTTGCCAACTAACAATTAATAATTTGAAACACATATTTTTTATTTCATAATGTATTATTACGGTCTAAGGCTTTTCCCTGGATAAGGACTTAGGAATAAATCTCGAAAAATATATCATCACCTTCTTTAAATAATTCTTTTGAGGAGTATGATATAAAGGCAAGCCGAGCCAAGAATACAAATGCGGGAGAAAATGAATACAAACGTGACTATTTACATAATATTAAAATTAGTGCGAAACTCACGTGCCACACCAGAGGGGTAGGCACCCCTGACATTTCTTTTTTAATGAAATCTAAGCTATATTGAGCTATCAAACTTAGAAATACAGGAATTAAAATGTATTCTGCATATTTAAATACTCAACAATTTACACTAATATACGGATGATTTAATATAGAAGTATTATCTATAGTTTATGCGAGAAGTACACATTAAAAAAAAAACACATTTAACAATTTAAAACACGAATTATTTACAATATATTCTAACTACGGTCCGATGTTTCGGATGCTTGCAGCCCCGGGGAGACACTCGCAAAACGCATTGATGACTAATAAATATAATTTTATTAGTCAACAATGTAAAGCTCAAGGAACAATGCTTTTGATCAAGTAATGAAATATATAACAAAGTTCGAAAACAAGCAGAGGTTTAGCTAAAGAGTTGCTAACACGGAAATGATTTTTCTCACCCTTCACAATTTATAAAGTTGAAAGACCATTAATTACGGAACAGTATGCTTTAGATTATATCTATACTCATATATAAAGCTGAAGAGTATGTTTGTTTGTTCGTTCGTTTGAACGCGCGAATCTCAGGTACCTGGTTCTGGTTCGAATCGAAAAAATGTTCTTGTGAGCGAAGAAACAGCGGAAAATCTGCAAAATTGAGAAAATTATTTGTCAGTGTAGGTGTCCGATGCGTACCTACGCTGCAAAAACGGTTTAATATATAAGAATGGTCTAAAAAAACGTCCGCGAGAGTATATTTCTATCCTTTAAGATTAACTCGCAAGAACGACGAGACGCGAACGACGTCGTGGGTAAAAGTTTTATAAAAACAAATTTGGATACCTAAAATAACTATTCTACGCGGACGAAGTCGCTGGCACAGCTAGTCGTGATATATCAATAAGTAAAAACGATGCGATGCGTATATTGATTTTTTAATGTTGATTGTGTAAGGGGTTGTTCTACGATTTATATTCATTAAGGGATGGCGGATTTTCGGGAGGTAGTAGTATGACTGGACAGAGATAGTGTGCACGGATTCTTTGTTTACATAAGTCTGGCTTAAGAACTCTAACATTGATTAAAATACTAAAATACCAACCAATTGGGCTACTAAGTCCTACACCTCATCGTCGATTTTTTCAACTTATTGATACATGCACCTCTCGGCGCTATGCCGGTTCAAGACATGCCCGAGTCGATTTGTTTTTTTCAATTTATCTTCGTTTGTTAATCTATATAGCGCCATCAATAGCATGTAAGAAATATTAAAGTTTTCAAACTATCATTCTTTACATGTACTTGATAAGTTAATATAAATTTAGAAAAAAGTAATTTACATAATTTTGAAAATAGTTACATGTTACAACACAACACAAGACATGTATTTGCAGTAGGTTTAAATTAAAATGCTCACGTAAGGTTCGATAGCATTATACTAATAATTTAATGACGAACACAATTCTACATTGTCATATTTAGACTAATTAATCGTAAATCAATAACATTAATTCAATTATTCGTATGAAAAATATTTTGTAATGTATACATTACAACTAGAAACACGTGTAAACACATTAATATACGTATAAATTCACTTATAAAAAGACGAATTAACTTTTACTACATAACAAAAATTACCACTAAACCGATAAAGCAATACGCCATCCAAATTCCCACTCATCCCTCGGATTACCAACAAACAAACAATTATAGCACAATCAATGGCCACTCGTGCGCGAAGTATAAATCAGGGATGATAATGGGTTAGATAGAATGACACGATTTTAGTTCCTATCGCTGACAATAGATGGCGCGCGTCATAATTGCGCTGGCGCATCGCGATGTTTTGATGCCACTTCATGGGAACCGTGGCGAATACAATGAACACTTAATTGTGCGAAAGGAGCACCAGTAATGATCCCTGGTCCCCTACTGCTACGGCTGTTAGATTTATGCGTTCTGCTCGACCCATAAGTGCCTCAGCATATTTATACAATAAATAAATAGTTCCAAAACATATTGCGCAGAGTGATTCCGGGTTCGCGATGATCTATTAACTTTTTAGCGTGGGATATTAAAGTGGATTGAGTTGATACTTCCTATCGATTGCAAATTTATAGACCTATTGTTTTTTGATAAATTAATCTTTTAATACTTTAGTTTGAGCTCGTAATAAAAAATACACAAGAATTAAGACAGTTATAAAAAAAGTAATTTTGTTATTTACAGACACAAATTTCGTTTTCTAAAACAAAAGTTACTTATATTATTCGTGTCCAAAAATAAAAAAAATACACATCCATAACATAGAAATAGATACAATTTGATAAGGTATATTGAGAGATCTTTTTGAAAAATTTAATAATATACGCGTTTGGACCCGTTAAAAATTTTATTGTTAAGATATAGAAGTATATATTAGTGGATAATCGTAATTTAAGTTTAAATAAAGCGTAGAAAATATATTATTTTTGTTTATTCCAGGAACTGAAAAGCTGTCAAGTGGGTTAAGCAAAGGATACACCACGCCGAGTCTGACCGATACAATCAGAGCTACTAAATGTTCAGGTTAGTGGAATTTATTATGTCTGTGGTGAATACAATCTATTTTAATATATTTAATCTTTATGTATACGGTAATCTCTGAAAGTGCTGATTGCTTCACGAGAGTTACACTAAGAAGTTGGAACAGCATGTTGGCTTTATTTCTTTGTAATCTGATGTCAAGTAAAAAGGTTATAGTAATATTAGTAGGTTAATCTGAAAAACTTACTTATATAGTAGATAGACTTGACCTTGACTTAAAATACAAAAAATTAAAATTGGTAATATGAAATAATATTTGATTTGTGCAGTATTTTTTTTATCTTATAAATGTGAAATAAACCCGTTTTAGCATTTGTGCTCAAACTAAGTGGCTCGAGAACGTTAACTATGGTTGGCTAGCAACATAAGCAGGTCCGAAAGTTAATTAGTTCAAGCCCGGACGAAACACGAAAAATTTCAGTCAGACAGAGCACGAGTCTGCTCAACTACTGTCTGTAAACAACTGGTCAGTGGTACAGACACAGATATCTTCAATCAATACTGTCTGTATTCAATAAAAACTTACTACAAATTTTTCACCAACATCCGTATTATAAATGTAAATAGCTTCTCAGTTATCGCACCATGGTGACGTCACCGCTTCTGCTTGATTAATGACGTCACGCCCCTCGCCTATCGCAGAACTCGCTATATATTGCAAATATCAAAATACATCGTGATATTCAAAGCTATTCGTTTTATCTTTTACGTTCGCGATTGGGGTAGTGGTGTGGTTCAAATAGAAAACAGTTTTCGTACTCCCAAGTTGTGAAAGATGTTTTATTAAAATAGAAGGATACACAAGCATAGGGATAATTTGATATTAGGTGAAATATCCCAGCAATATAACATGTAAACAAGATGTGCTGTCGAGCTATTTTGCGTTTGGTAATACGAAAATCCACAGACTGAAACAGAAACGCGATTGACGGCTTTTTCATTTGTGGGCGGTGGTTCGTGAGCCAGACGAATACATTGGAGAAGCAGTCGTGGACTCATAACTAAACTACTACCTTTTTTTTTAGAGTCACGTGATATAATGAGCCAGGTATTCGAATTTGAATTTCGAACTGGCTTGCACGTAAAACACTTTGGCGCGCAAAAAAACTATTGTTATTAGTTGTTCGTCAACTTCGTCATTGGTTTTACATTTCTGAATTGAAACTACCTGTCTATAGTTTACGTGAGTAGTACACATTTAAATAAAACACTTTAACGGTTTAAAACGCGATATATTAGTTAAACTTATTTGAAAATGATTTTTAACTTCGGCCCGACGTTAAAATTCATTTTCAAATAAGTTCAACTAATATATCGCGTTTTAAACCGTTAAAGTGTTTTATTTAAATGAAACTACCTGTTCTAATTTCTGTATTATTTGAGTAGGCATTGATGGACTTACTTTACACGTTCGTCTATCACGACACAGTAATTACTCACGAGATACAATTTTATATTTAAATCCGCAGATGACAAGGCAAGGGTAATCAAATATGACACATTATCTCTACAAGGATCAAGTACTTAAGATGTCTCCTGTGAAAGCCCATAGACAATTTTAAATTGACCTATTAGCAATCATTAATTGTTGGCCACAAAGATTTAAAGTGGAATAGGCGAAGCGTGAATTCAAAGAGATGACGTCAATTAAAAGTTATCGTGTTCCTCAAAGGAGTGGTTATCTCGCTTCGTGGCTCGTCACTATTCAAGGGTTGAAGTCGTATTGTGTTAATGGGTGGTGTAGATATCAGCGGTGTACTATAGGGATTTGTACACGAATTAATGACTATTTAACTTTTAAATTATATTGCACATAAAGGCACTATATAATTTTAAAATCGTAGCTCAATTGGTAGAGCAACAGCATGGAACGCTGACGAAGCCGGGTCAAGTCCTACCCGAGTCAAAAAAAATTTCAATTTATTTTCGATTTTTAAATTGTAATAAGATAAAAACGATGTTTTTAGATATCGGAGTACCATACTCCTCAGTAACGGCTCGACCGATTTTTATAAAAAATATATATATATTCAGTAGGTCTGAGAAACGGTTATTCTATATTTCATATCCCTTAGTGATAAGGGTATCACCCAACATTTTTTATTATCGTTCGGATATAAGTATTTTTATTTTTGCATAATCTGTTATTAAAAATTACAAACCACGCTATATGTTCACTCTCTTATCACCAACCCCCTAATCTCTACGCGTTCGATAACTGATCAATTAACAATGGGTAAGTCCCCCCCCCCCCTACGTGTCTACCAGTGTCAATAACTTAATGTTTGGTAAGTTCTTGTTTTTATACGTGCTTGTTGTCCGCATCCGTTAGTGTTCAAATAGCAAGCAATGATACAAAATAAGACACGGTCACTTCTAAAATTAACCTTAAAGATATACTAATAATATAAAGTAACGATCACTAGAGGGTAGGATTTTTCTCGCAACAAAACACCAAAATGCGCATCCATAAAGTGTGCCTAAATGAAATATACCGGGCCAAAGAGACCCGTAACTAAATATTGGCACGCGCCGTCACATGTTTCAAATAATTAAGAGTTCTCAATTCTGAAGTGGCGCATGCAGCCTCTCGATGCTCAATACAACCCTTATTGATGACTAATTTTTTTAATGGTTTGTATACATTATACCTACAACGACAAATACGTTATTGTCTGGTCGTAACAAAATAATTTTGTAATTTAACAAAGAAAGTAGTTTCTTAGATGTAAAACCTTCCATCATTTTCAACTCGTATAATTGAAATTATAATCTAACATATATATACCTAGCTGTGCCCGCGACTTCGTCTGCGTGGAGTAGTTAATGTGGGCATCATTTTTAGTTTCCTCTTCAAACAAAACATTCTCCTCGGCTTTATACATTGTAGTTGTTACCCATGACGTCGTGCGCGTCCCGCAGTTTTTGCAAGATAATCTTAAAAGAAACATTTTTGACACGGACATTAGGTAGACATTTAAAGAGGAATAAATCCATATCATCAGGATCCCTCCAAGGTGAATATTCCCCAAATGTTGAAATGTTTTTTCAACACTTTCCATTTTTTATTCGCTCCTTTTGTTTACAGCGTTACGTTACATAATCTTAAGCCTTCCTCGAATTTTTTTTTAATTCAAACTAGTAGTTCCTGAGATAAGCACATTCAAACAAATTCTTCAGCTTTATAGTATTAGTATAGACTTTAAACATTTGTCGTTAAATTTGGCATACAAAATAAATAAAAAGATACATCTAACCGGTTTAATTAAAATCAGTATTATGTTACAAATATCAAAGATTACAATCACGTTTGAATAAACACGATGAGGGGTCAATAAGACCCCACCATCCGTATCCAGCGATAACGACCTCACTTCGATCGCTTGCAAATTTGCTGTGATAACCGTATATAGATTTGATTTTTTCCCGTCGATACAATCGCGCGCGATGTAAATAATTTTATGTTATACTAGCTGTGCCAGCGACTTCGTCCGTGAGAATCGTTATTTTGGACGTCCAAATTCGTTTTTACAAACCCATCATCTTTATCTTTATAGAGTTAAGCGGTTACCCACGATGACGGCCGCGTCCCTTTCCGTCTTGCATGTTAATTTTCAATGTTTTTTAGATCATTTAAAGAGGAATCATTCTTTCATACATATTTTTTTAGCATCTTGAGCCGTTTTTGCAGCGTACGCCTCGGTAACCCATGATGATGAATAATTTTCCTAAATTTTTCACATTTCCCGCTCTATCTTCGCTTGTATTAGTCACAGGGAAACGTTACAGCCTTCCTCAACAAATGCTCTTACTGAAACAAAAATAATTTTTCAATTCTAACTTGTAGTTCCTGAGATTAACGCGTTCAAACAAACAAACTCTTCAGCTTTATATATTAGTATAGAAGTATAGTTTTTTTCGGAATTCAGCGGTTGAGCGAAACCTAGAGGCGATATTTTCGTTTTCGTGTGGCGCAGAAGTCTGCTCAACCACTTGCTTATAGATAATGTTAAAAATCGATTAGAGGAACAGTCACAGTGTCTATACTCTATAGCACACAGGAGGCATAGTAATTATTACTAGTTAATTTATAATGATGCGAGTAGATCTGTTTCAAGTCAGTATAAGGTAACCGATAAGAATAAATTTAGTGTATTTTAATAGTGTAATGCGCAATCTAATATGGGAAAAACAAACAACGAATTTCTTTAACAAAATCTCAGTAAATAAAAGTGTATCAAAACCATGTTTCGAACCATGACAGTGTATTGTACAGTCAATCATTGCGATTGGTTCCGGCTCGAGCGTGCTCTAACTCAATGGGTGGAGTAACTAATTTGTTTCGGTACCAGATTAACGATTAATGAAGACGGTCTCGTGAGAACTATGGGGTTGAAAATCTAATCGCAAAGTAGAGGAAAATATATACTTTTTTTACTAATATAATTAATCCATTGAAAAAATAATCAAAAACACAAGCGTCGCCTTAAAATAGCTTCAAAACTTCTCAACTACGTATAGGTCTATCAATCAGAGAAGCATCGGGGATATGTCGGCGTCACGCTACTGTGTCGGTAAAACCGAGTCACTTTTTACATGCTATCAAAAACTTCCCGCTTTTATGAGGCCATAAACGTTTATTGTTAATTAAATAATAAATAGGCGAAATCATTAACACCGTGGTAATGGCCTTATATTTATTAAAATCGTTTTAAGATAAGAAAATAATCAGAAGGTTTTATAACTAGCTGATCCTTTATCTCCACCCCAAGCATGCTTTATTGACCGAAACAGAGTTAACAAAATTAATGGCTTAAATTTCTACACCAGTAATGAATACATAGGAGGGACTGGATAAATCATTGTTACGTTGCATTTCGGATGCTGCTGTTTCAGGAGTTGGCTCAAGGTGAAAGATTAAAGAGTTTTTAATATTTACTGTATTAAATACTGTCTATAGTTTACGCGAGTAGTACACATTTAAATAAAACACTTTAACGGTTTAAAACGCGATATATTAGTTAAACTTATTTGAAAATGATTTTTTAACTTCGGCCCGACGTTTCGGATGCTTTGCAGCAGCCGTGGTCACGGGGAGACTTATTACTGTATTGATAAATTGTCTACTATCTGTAGTTTACGCGAGTAGTACACATTGAAATAAAACATTTTAACGTTTTAAAACGCGATATATATTAGTTAAACGGGAAGTCTACCCGTGACCACGGCTGCTGCAAACCATCCGAAACGTCGGTTTAAAATAATTTTCAAATAAGTTTAACTAACATATATCGCATTTTAAACCGTCAAAGTGTTTTATTTTAATTGTGTAAGGCTTCCACTTCCACTTTTGGCGAGAGGAATTTTGTTATATTGAATTTTGTTTCTTCGAGCAATTGAGGAGCTAACATCTCCTGATGATGCCGTCCGCTCGTGATGCCGAAACGTCGAGAACCTCTTCTCGCTTACGTTGGCCGAACAGTCCGAAAAACAATTATATGCATTTACTACATTTATAAAGATATATTCTTAAAAAATAGTATTACTTTAATATTGATTTTTATATATTTAAAATAATATTGCTTAGAAGATAATTTGTTGAGAAGTTCAAAATCGAATTAAGAGTGAAAAAACTTACGGCACATCATACATTCCGTGCTGTTGCTGTAATTAATTGAACTAACTATCATAGTAGCTTTTTATTTCACGACGAAAGATTACTAGTATGAAAAACTCCTAAACGCTATCGCTCATGGCATGAAGTATATGCAGAAATGCGACACGCGCACCGGATGTGAGCGACGAGCGCGTGCGTCGTTGCTAATGTTCAATGGAACGTACGGAGGCGCACTTGAAACATTTTTATTGTAACCAGCGTTAGGGGCAGAGCGATCATTGTTCCACCCCCGAAAGTTAGAAGAAATTTACTTGCCTTGATACATATAATATTTAACTATGTATTTGTTTCAAGATGTGTATTGAAATAAATACAAACACTAACCCTAATTACTATTATGGTATAGTAATAGATTCGATTATTCATTATATTATATGTTATATTCAAGAAAGTAGCATGTTATTTCTTATATTTGTAACATTGACTTATCTGTGCTATGATGCACAGTGGAATCAAGGATTTACTGAAAATTGAATTTATATGTCAAATGTCAATCTTTATTATTATTTTAATTTACATACAATGTACGTAAATAGGTTATAATTTTTATTTATTTTTTACTCAATCCTATTTTTTTTTACTCCTTGATTTATCCCCTTCATAATGTCTAATAAAGATTACTACAAGCAATGGCTTCAACTAAAGGAACATATACAAAAGACTGCCGCGGAGGACGAGCGGCTTCAAGAATTGGCTACAACATCTATAGGTATCAAACCTCAAGCAACTGCTGTCGAAATAGTTGCTCGAGTCTATTGCAAGTACTGTGATATTTACAACAAGTTATGTGATTGTTATGATCAAATGGAGCAAGTACAAAGACGGCCATATATACGAAAAATTATTGACGCCATCACATGTAGACTTCTTGAGCTAAAATTAACTTTAGAAGAGGTGGAAGCGTTTGAATTCACCTATCCTGATAATGCCTTACAACAACTGTTGATGGTGCCACAAGATATCGAAATAATGTGCCCCTTTCACTACCCTTTTGAGATAAGAGAAGAAGAAATGCAATTTATTATTGATCAAATCTTCGCTGGCAATAGAATCGGTGACCCATCACCTACTCCATCAGAAATTGAGCGTAAAGAAGAGGAAAGATTAGAGCAAGAGGCTCGGATGAGAGAAGAAAAAGAAGCAGAAATGAAGAGAAAAATGGCTATGGGCGAAGATATTTCAGATGCTGCGTCATCAGTTCAACTGTCACCACAAGAATTAGAGGAAATGCGATTGTTAGCTGAATATAATGAATGTGTTAACAACATACAGAGGATGGAGCGGTCGCGATATCTAGTGCGAGAAAAGACCAAAAAATTCAATAAAGATGTAAACTTGTATTTGGAATTGTCAGGTATGAAAAAACCTCCTGCACGTGAATCATTTCGAATTCGAGCTGCAACCATAATACAAAGTACATATCGCAAGTTTATGGAGATAAAGCGATTTCGACTTCGAGACAATAATTTAAAAAATAAATTAGGTATGATTATACCATCTTGGGCTCCTCCTTCAGCGAAAATTCTTTTAGAAAAAGTTAGAGAAGACAGAAGAAGTTTCAGACGTAAATATTACCAGAAGTGGTTAGAAGAAAATATAAAAGAAAACGCCCGTGTTCTTAGATTAAGAGAAGGTCAAATTATGGAAGACATATCGGATGAGATCAGACAATGGTTTAGGGAATGGTATAATGAGGTACGTTTATTTGACGAATTTCCTTATCCCGACGAAGGAGGTTCAATATTGATCGTAAAGGGTGAGACATTTACGATTGAAGAATATATAGAATGGAGGTTAGAAGAAGATAAAAGACTTAAAGCAGAAGCTGGAAGTCCAAAATCTAAGGAACAAATTAAAGCAGAAAAAATTGCAGCAAAAGAGGAAAAGAAAAGATTAGAGGCAGAAGCTAAAATAAAGGAAGCTAAGCGGTTGCTAGATTATAAAAAATCACGCCTAAATCCAGATGGTGACCCAGGAATTTACTTACGTATTGGAACTGCGATAGAACCTGTACGTGAGGCTTGGGACCTCTATCAAAATCAATGGAAAGAATACGACATTGCTGATGCGCCCATAGAAATATTAAAAGGTTTCATAAAACAACTAATTACTGAAAATGCATATCAAGATGTCCAATTTAAATTGAGGCCTATTGTTGATGATATGATGAGATTAGAGCTAATACTATTACGTAACGCTTTAAAATTAGACTATCAAGCAGCGGGTATTCAGAAGCCACCACAGAGTAGAAAAAGAAAGAAACCTAAAAAGGTCAAACCTCCCAAACCGGATAAGCTATCACCCGCTGCAATGTTTCAGATGTTGGTGGATGGAGGCATTGTCCGAAAATACCCACGTACGACTCTGGAAGATTATTGGGGGGACAGAAATTACGCTGCTGCCGACACTAGGGCTGTCCTGTGGACTCCAACGTTCCCACCTAATTGTATTGGCGACGTCAAAGAACTAATAAGAGTAAGATGTATTCTAACAATGGGCTCGTCGTGTCCGAACGCGGTTAGATCACAATTATTAATAGGGCCTAAAGGTTCGGGCAAGAGAACGCTAGTCTACGCAATTGCCACTGAAACTAACGCTGTACTAATTGATCTATCACCAATGAATGTGTACAACAAATTTCCGGGGCCTAAGAATTTAAAAACTATGTTCCAACTTGTGAATAGAATTAGCAAATTAATGCAACCAACCGTTATCTTGGTAGATAATGCGGATAAACTGTTTTATAAGAAGGTTCCAAAGGAGGAGAAAATGTTCGATCCAACGAGGTTATCCAAAGATTTCTTTAAAGAGGTCTTTAAACCCATTCTCCCGGATGATAAAATATTGATTATAGGAACAGCTTCAGAGCCTTGGCTGGCTAAGAACCCGCCGATGTATAAGGTATTTCCTTCTACAATATTATTGCCTAGATCGGACTATGGCAGCATATCGTATGTGTTATCGAAAATGTTGATGAAATACCACGGAATGGACAGGGAATTTAACGTGCATAGTGTAGCCCAAGCACTTAGGGGGTATGACATGAACACAATTAGGAAATCAGTAAATTCTCTTTTGAATGGAAAGAGAATAGCTGAATTGTACCACAAGCCGCTGCAACCAGCTGAAGTCGTTGAGGCCGTTTTAAACTGTGAAGGTGGTGTTTGTACTGATGCTGAGGATTACGACATGTACAAGCAGTGGTATTTGTCCTATTCACCATGGGGCACGAAATATCTAGATTACATGCAAATGCTAGATTCGCAACTAACCTATAAACTTAAAGCCGAGAAGAAGAAAAATTAACAACGTTAATATCCTGGAACTTCCTTTTTCTATAAAATCTAAAGTCTAGATAAAAGGTCTTTTTCATTTCTAGATATCACATAAGGTAGGGAGATTCTACGTCTATACACTACTTAAAATATTAGAACTAAACGACCATATGTTAAAGAATTATTTTCTATATTATTCTCGCAAATAAGTAATATAAATAAAATAATTTTAGTTTATAAAAACAAATTTTATTATATTAATAACATTCTATAGTTCTTATTTGTAAATTACTGCATATTATTTATGCAAACAATATTTAATCGCAAATTTTATCCTCTGCATATAATTGTAGTACATATAAGAACTAACAGAGCCGCCTTATAAGTGAACGAAATACCAAAGTTCTTTAGTTCCCTTATAGGGACTAACAATAGTTATAGCGCGTAACGTTAGAGGGCATTTATTTCAACTTTGCCTCAGAGCTTTAAAGCTCTAAGAATATTCAATAGATGGCAGTTAGAACACAAAATAATGGAGGAAAACTGATGTAATGATTTTTTATTGTTTTTGTAAGTATAATAATATATATGTAGGAAAAATTATTATGTTGTAACTTAGCAATATCTTATACGTTATTTCAAAAATATGTGCCATCGTTCTTTAGTTTTGTAAAGCATGTTATTTACATTTATACCAGTTTGTCTATTTTAAAAAATCATTTAAACAATCTACCGAAGTTGTATTTAAATAAAACATTTTAACGGTTTAAAGCACGATATATATTACTTAAACTTGTTTGGAGATTATTTTAACTAGGGCCCGACGTTTCGGATAATAAATAAGTTAATATTGCGTTTTAAACCGTTAAAGTGTTTTATTTTAATGTGTACCACTCGCGTAAACTACTGACAGTATTTACCGAAATAATTCCTTATTATTCACTGTATCTATTGTCGAATTTTACCATAATACGTAAAAAAGTTTTGGTTTGTTATTCGCCATTGACAGGAGTCAAAATGCGAATTAAAAAATAGAACGACAGTTCTTTAAAACGTTTAGCTGGTTAAAAATAACTCAATATGCATTAGCGAGTCGAAGACATAAAGTCGGCATTGGTTATACTCTCGGAAGCCTCCCTGAACCGAACACCCCAGGGGTTGCGGAAATGGCGGTGAAGGGAGTCGTTCCGGAGCCACTAGTCACGACCAACTATTTTGTTCACACACCTACGACCCACATTTGATAGCCTTATTACCTTGGCGTCAACGCTTGTGGCGTGTACAATAGGTCTCTTTTAGTGAAGAATTTCATGTATATGAAATGTTAATATTTATTTTTTATGGCAAGGTAATCATTCGTACGTTCCATTTTTAAATTTAGTGTGTCCTAAATATAGTTATTCTATGTTTAAATTTCTAAGCACAATTATTTTTTACCTTTATATCAATCTCTACTTACGCGTTACTTAACTACAGCCCAAAATGCCATATTTCGTGGTGATGGGGGAAAATTTACAGAAGAGAGTTGTAAATACATTCCAGACGTCGGATTACACCTAAAAAAATCCTTTGTAAATATTAAAAGATAAACATAGACAATTTTAATTACAGTTACTTGTAACGGTTTTGAATCCGTAGCGTCTAATTATTTCGATGGTAATTATACTATGTTGTCTGGGTTATATATTATTGCAGATATGTTATTTTATTTATATTAAGATTATATATAATAATGTACAGGTTCGATTCGAAAATTCTTACAGAGCTATATAATCCATTTATATCAACGACTATAGTTATACAGTAAAGTACGTATGCGAACTCGCTACGACATAAAGGAAAGTTTTAATGAGAAAAGTGACAAAAATGAAAGAGAATTTTCTCCTCTTAGTTTCACGGGGATTGTGTATAAAAAATAAAACTTTTGAATATTTTCGAGCCGCTTAAATAGTATTGATTATCGGTCTTGTTAGTTCAATAGTAGGAACGTATGGCTAATAACGAACGGGTCGTGCTTTCGATGCCTGTGTCCAAAACGCAAAGTTATACTTTACCAAAACCCCACCGCGTTTCATTCATTATACTAGGGCATATGAACTTCTAATTTAAAAATCGAAAATAAATTGAAAACATTTTCGACTCGGCCAGGACTTGAACCGGCATCGTTAGCGTTCCGTGCTATTTTTTTTTATTATATTATATATTGCTCTACCAATTGAGCTATCGAGCTCATGTTCGATACCGTTCAAGTCCTGCCCGAGTCGAAATTTTTTTCAATTTATTTTCGATTTTTGACATGTAAAAAATAATAAAGTTTTCAAACATATCAACTTCTATCGAGTGAACTCAGTGCTTATCTGACTATTATATTTTATTTTTTATGATAGAGGAAGACAGACAAGCAAGAAGTTTTCTTGATGATAAGTGAAATACAGCCAACATCTAAACAAAATGCGATATCGCCCTATTTTGGCTTTGGATATTCGAAAACGCAATGAAATCGAAATGCGATTAAACTTGACGGCTTTTTTATTTGTGGATAATGTTTCGTGTCTATTGATATTTCTATTTAATATCCAGACGAAGACTAACATGTTTTAGAAAAATAGATATAAAAATTTTTGAAACCACAACTGACACGTTGATTATTAACCATGCATTGTTACCATCACACATACATGGCCTGTGAAAATTAAGGAGTAAGGCTATTTTCGAAGTGAGTAGAACCGCGGGAAGCTACTAGTACGTTGATAGACCAATGAGTGTTAATAGAAACGACGGAGTCTAATTCACGTCCCTCGTTCGGCGCTATCTCTAAGCTTATTTCCGGTGCGCCGCCTGTTTGTATTAATTTTAAATTAAACGCGGATAAGCCTAGACGTCTGTTCGTTCGTAGACGAGTGAAAATTCAAAATTGATTTGATAAATTTTTTAATCATTTCTTGTATTAATTAGCTTTCTGAACGTCTCTGTAGCCAAATGGTTAAACCTAGCATTGCGTTAGACGCGAGTGTTCCTATGTTCGAAACCCGAGGAAGCAATAGATTGTTTCGGTCGGGCAGGGCTTGCTTGTAAAGGAACCAGTAAAACGGACACAGAATTCGCCCATTATTCCATGGGGATAAACGGGATGTCACTTTAACATTTTTAAATTTGTTTCGCCTACCTTGCACTTGTCACTTGGTCTATTTAAATTTTTTCTTAAATTTTACCTAGAAGAGATCGCTTGATATCGCTTAATAGAAATAAGACTGCTCATTGTACTCCATTTTAACATAGACGTTTTTTTGTGCAATAAAGAATAAAAAAATAATCTATAATTAATATCATATTTAAAGGTATATCCACCACCGCAGCTCTATGATTAAGTACAAGAAGTCCTGGGTTATCATCTAGACAAAACGATGGTTATATTTTTAGGTGTTATTTTGAAATGTTTATTCGCATAAACTACGGACGATAGTTACGTATTTATATTTTACGGTATATATTTTGATACAAACTGCTACGGAAACTATGTTGCTATCTTTCATCTTTAGTAGATAGAAAAGATAATTAGGGCGGGCATGATAGCTTAAGAAACGCGATTTTTAACGTTTGAAAACTTTAATATTTTTCACACGGTATTGCACATGATGGCACTATATAAATTAAAACTCGATTATAAATTGACTCGGTTGCTCTATTGGTTAGAGCATCAGCACGGAATGCTGAGGATGCCAGTTCAAGTCCTGCTCGAGTCGTAAATTATTTCTATTTATTGTTATAAACGCGTCTTTTGAATAATCAATAGCGCCCCGTTTTGAGATTTTTACTTAGAATTATCGATAGTCCAATGGTATTAGTATTACTGATAATGATCGGGAGTTCGATCGATGCTCAAGACGTGTTGAGCATCGACCTCATGATTTTGACACTTGTTAGACTGATGACAGATGAAATATATTTTTGACACTTGTTAGACTTCGTCTGGACAATATGGAAACTAAAAGAGTCGCAGGAATATCCAGACTCTGTTATACCCTATGTATACAGTTATTTTGTCTTAAATTCTATTTAGAGGGAGCAATAATATATGAAAACTACTAGCTTGAATAAATAGTATAGAAATTAAAAAAACAATTGTCATTTTTACAAAGGATTTGAAGACAGTAGGTCTCTTCTCGATAAGCACAATTTAGATAAGGTCTCATGTTAACACTAAATTAATCAGTTAATGTATTTTTAACAACGGCCTAAGGTTTCAGATTCAGTACAAAACAGACAACCTTTTAAAATTCAACATATTATTAGATTAAATGTGGTAAGTTTTGAAACTTTAGCACTACATCCAAATTTAAAGTTGAAATTACATTTCACTATTGCGTAAGAGCACGGAAACCGTGGTTAGGTTCGAATTTCGCCCGTAGCAAACATTTTTTGAATCTAATTAGTTGCAATTTATATCAAAATATAAATCTACCATTTGCAATTAAGAGAATAAAAAAATGTGAAACATTAATAATACCTATTTTCTAATGCTATACAAAAGTTTGAATCGTTTTGAAAGTTATAAATACCAAAAAATATAATAGAACACATACGCTTCTTTTATAATAATGCAGCGTAATAGACTTTTTTTATAAGTAAGTTTTTAATACCTTGAAGTGTTATATGTATACTAAAAAAATAAAGAATTGCGAATTTCAAACTTCACAAAGAATTTACGTGATACTAACAAAAATATCGCTTCCGCTTATGGATAGCCCGCTTATGCGACCTCAATATCTTGTTTACTGTGCTTAGGCCGCAGGGCGGCAACGTACCGGAAACGCGCGGCGCGGCAACCGCGCGACAGCATCGATCACGGCCACACACACATACAAAGTATACGCGATGCACACGATAATGAGACTTCGTACCGGTGCTACGGCGTAGGACTTACGTAGCAAGCTAACCAATTTTTGCATATTTTTTTAAATGGTTTAGTGTGAGTTTAACTACATTTATAAGTTATATGTACTCATTCTAAAATCAGATAAATATGAATTT